CCTCCACAAAGTATAAATCCTCCAAAAAGTAGAAATCTTTCAAATCCAATTTTTTTATTACATGGTTTAGTTTCAATTCCCTAATCATTCTACCCACTTTCTTCTGAGCACACTCTAGCTTTCTTTATCAGTGTTAGAGGGGGAGGCCAAAATGGAACATAACACACCAGGAAGTCTTCCTAGGCACTATGCTTCCATTACTGCATCCTAAGATCATATTAGCTCTTGTGGCAGCCACATCACACTGTTAACTGAGGTTAAACTTACCGTCAACTAAAACTACTAAGCATTGTTCACACTTCTCGCTTTGTCCTCCTTTCTCATCTTGAGCTTATGCTTCTTTTGGGGGGGGGGCAAGCAGATGCAAATTAAATGTAGAATTATAGCTTAATATTATATTTCACCTATTTGAAATATAATAGTTTATTACCCACTAATACAAGAACTAGTATCTAACGTTGTTTTTATTTTAGAAACCATTTTAAGAAATACAATAGGGGCCGGTCTGGTGGTGTAGCAGTTAAGTTCGGGCGTTCTGCTTTGGCAGCCAGGGGTTCAACAGCTGGGATCCTGGGCGTGGACCTACTCACCGCTCATCAAGCCATGCTGAGGCAGCATCCCACATAGAAGAACTAGAAGGACCTACAACTAGGATATACAACTATGTACTGGAGCTTTGGGGAGAAAAAAGAAAAAGAGGAAGATTGGCAACAGATGTTAGCCCAGGGCCAATCTTCCTCAAAAAAAAAAAAAAAAAAATACAATAAAACTTTTATTTAAAAAAAACTTTAGGGGCCGGCCGGGTGGCGCAAGTGGTTAAGTGCACGCGCTCCGCTGCAGCAGCCCGGGCTACACCGGTTTGGATCCTGGGCGTGCACCAACGCACTGCTTGGCAAGCCATGCTGTGGTGGTGTCCCATATAAAGTGGAGGAAGATGGGCACGGATGTTAGCCCAGGGCCAGTTTCCCTTAGCAACAAAACAGGAGGATTGGCAGATGTTAGCACAGGGCTGATCTCCTCACAAATAAATAAATAAAAGAGAAAAAAAATAAAAAGAAAAAGAACCTCCGTGCTTCCCCTTTCTGAATAATTTAGTCCTAAACCTATTAGAAGAGACCAAGCAAGATGGGCACCTGCACCAAAATGAGATATTGGAGCCTGTTCAGAGTGAGGCGTGTGTTCACATGAGGAAGAGAGAGCAGCAGAGTGCAAAGTGTCCAAGTCCATGTGAAGTGAGCAGAGCTTCTGAAGAAGAGAGCAGTCAAGTGTGAGTGTTAGAGCCTGAGTGGGCTGATGAAGGCATCCACACCATGAAGTGGCCCAATGCAGCATGTAAGAGCCTGTGGGAGGTCAGAAGTCATTCATGTTGTGGGGTAGCCTATCATGGAGCATCAGAGCCCAAAGCGGGAAAGAGTATCCACATCATGCAGTGAGCTTCTGGAGCCAAGAGAGTGAGGAAGGTGGGCTGGCATGCAGCATCGAAGCCCAAGTGGGCTGAGAAGAACGTCCACAAGAGGGAATAAGTGAGGTGAGGTGTCATAGCCTGGGCCAGGTGAAGACGGTATCTACAAGTGGGGAGGAGCAGAGAGAGCAAAATGACAACAGCACAGGGCAGGATGAGAGCCTACACAGGGTGAAGGGGTATCTGCGTGTGGGAGAGGAGACAACGAGAAAAATGGAAGACTGGTTACATACAGGGGATTAATGAAATAACATATTAAGGAAGGATAGGAGAACCAGGTTCTCATTATTGAAGAAGGAATTTAGAGGAATAGAAAGACAGAAAACTAAAATAAACCTTGTTTATTCTCGACGGGAATTGGAATTGGATGTGTTAGTGTGAATTTATGGTGTTCTCTGTGCGTGCGTGTGTGTGTGTGTGCGTGTGTGTGTAAGTAGATAGAGAAATAAACACAGATGTAAATATGTTTATGCATGTATATATGTTACATACATATATATTCCCTTACTCTGTCCACTGAGAAGGCTCAGGAACAGCAACCCCAATAGCAATGAGCACATCCAATATCAAATCTGGTTTCTAAGCACTATTCGCCAGGAAAATACACCAGATCTCCTTGAAGAAATGGCTGATTCCAGAACTGGGGCAGGGAATCTTGTGCCAGAATGTAAGAAAGTGCTCAAGTAATCATGAGGACATGTCAAAAAGTAGTAGTCAACTTGAGGGGACTCCCCCTGGCCAAATCTGGAACAATTAGAGCATTGACACAAATAATAATAATAATAGATTTTAAGCCACTGAATAAAACAGGAAACTCCAAGTCCATACTGATATTAGTAATTTTGAACAAAATGAAAATAACATTCCAGCAGAGAAGCTTGGCAGACACTACCTTAATCATGTGATAGAAGTAAACATCATCGCTAATGGGACAAAATTAAAATCATGTACCACTCTTGATAGGATTCAATGAAAAAAGGATACAGCGTTACTTCTGTGCTATTTTTCCCAAAGATGTATAACCTGAAGAAAGATTGCAGAAACTCAAATTGAAGGACATTCTTTAAAATAATTGGCCTATAATCTTCAAAAGTGCTAAGATCATTAAAGTCAAGGAAAGAATGAAGAAATGCTCCAGATTAAAGGAAAGTAAGGAGAAGTGACAACCAAATTCAACCTGTGATTCAGCTTTATTTGAACAATTGGTAGAACTGAATGAGGTTGTAGAAGTAAATAGTAATAATGTACCAATGTTAATTTCCTAAGGATGTACTATGGTTATGTGGGAGAATGTCCTTGTTTATAAGAAGGACATACAAAAGTATTCTGGAGAGATGAGACATCATATTGGCAACTTATTCAGAAATGATTCAGAAAAAAACTGTACTGTACTTGAAACATTTCTGTAAGTATGAGATTGTTTTAAAATTCTTACTGAATTTCCCTTTTCTTAAAACACTTGTTTAAAAATGTGTTCCTCAAAGCCCTGGGCTTCCCTAGTGAGGGCAAGGGCTGAGTTAAGTGGGGAGGGCCTTGAGCTCCTGTTTTAATAAGAACAGCTACATCTTTGTTGAGAAGCAGCTGAGCACTGATTAGAAACCATCTTTGAAGTTCAGCCTTCTAGATCAAATGCAGGCTTTATAACTGCACAGTGCATGACCTGAGTACGTTACTTAATCTTTCTAAGTTTTAGTTTCTTCATCTGTAACATGAGAACGATAGTACCTACATCTTACAAAGTTGTTGTGAGGATTCTTGAAAAATGATATATATTGATAACTATTAAATTTAAACTCTTAATGAGATAATATATAGTACCTGACATTTAATAAATGCTCAAGGGGCCGGCCTGGTGGTATAGGGGTTAAGTTCTCGAGCTCCGCTTTGTTGGCCCAGGCTTTGCAGGTTTGGATCCCAGGTGTGGATCTACGCAGTGCTCATCAAGCTATGCCATGGTGGCATCCCATATACAAAATAGAGGAAGACTGGCATGGATGTTAGCTCAGGGACAATCTTCCTCAAGCCAAAAAAATATATACATCCAAAAAAAGAAATGTGACCTATTTTTACTATTATTTGTTCAATACATTGGCCTTCTGTATAAAATTGTACTTTCTAAAAAAAAACCCTGCTAAAACCCTGCTATTCTAATATTATACAACTTTTAAGTGATAGCCTTTGTTGTCATGGGGAAGCAATTTATCCTAGGCTACACAGTATAAGGGTTAAAAGCACAGGCTCTCAGGTCAGAGTACTTATGTTCAAATTGCAATTCTGCCACTCACTTGCTGTGTGACCTTGGGCAAGTTACTTAATTTATCTAAGCCTCTACTTCTGAGACTACAAAATAAGGATAAAAATAGCTATAAAGGTTAAATGAGGGCCGGACCCGTGGCTTAGCGGTTAAGTGCGCGCGCTCCGCTGCTGGCGGCCCGGGTTCGGATCCCAGGCGCGCACCGATGCACCGCTTGTCCGGCCATGCTGAGGCTGCGTCCCACATACAGCGACTAGAAGGATGTGCAGCTATGACATACAACTATCTACTGGGGCTTTGGGGGAAAAAAATAAAATTAAAAAAAAAAAAGGTTAAATGAAATAAATGGGTAAGGCATTTAGCAAAGTATCTGGTATTTTAAGTCTTTAACAAAAATCAGCTGCTGTTTTTATTTCTGGCGGCTACATATTTAAGACTCTTAAGAGTTGGCATACTACAACCCACTGGCTGAACCCTGCCCACCACCTATTTTCGTAAGATAAAGTGTAATTACAACAGCTAAATTCAGTTATTATGCATTGCCTACGGCTGCTTTCATGCTATAATGGCATAATTGAGTAGTTGCAACAGAGACCAGACAGCCCATAAGACCTAAAATATTTACTATCTGGCTTTTTCATAAGAAATTTGTTGATCTGTACTCTAGGACAATAAAAACAAACGAAAAATACAATGCTATAGAATGTTAAAATAGATGATACAAATGGAGCAAAATAACCAAGTTGACTGGTTTCCATCTATGTCAATAAAGTTAAAGCAATTGACAAACATATAGCTGTTTTCCTTTTCCCCCCAAAACTAATATGCATTTCAAAACTGAAAATATCCTTAGACGTTCTAAGTTAAAATATATTTTTTTCCAAATGGAAGTACAAATTTGAGAAGTTATATGAATAGTCTATAGCTAAAGAACTATCATCACTCAGTACACTCCAGGTGTACTGAAGGCAGTGCATTAAGGCATCACATTGGGTCACAGGCAAAGCATATTTTTCTGAAATAAATCACACTGAAAAGTATATTCAAGAAATATCTACATAAAAGGAACTGTGTAAGGAACCATAAAGAATTCATAAAGGACAAAACAGAAAACTTAAAACATTTACAATCCAGTTGAGCAGAAAAACAATCTCTAAGGCTGATAAAAAGCAGAATTAAGAGCATTTCACTATAATTTATGTATTCTTTAAATTTTATATAAATAAAATAGATTTCTTTTTCTTTTATAGTCTACACAAATTGAAAAATTCAAAAATGTATTACCTGAATTGGATGTTCACTAAATGAGGCTGGGAGCCATCTGATTGCCAATAAGTTTCCAGATTGTCATCTCGTAATTGGTCCACTCCAAATCCTAAAAACACCACAAGTGACAATAAATTCTCATGAAAAAGAAAGAGCTATATATTCAAAATATAAAATTACCACATATATTTGTCCAGAAAGTTTGATAAACAGGATGGTCAGTGCTATAAAATTTAAATTAACCAGAATTCTTCTACCTTCCTAACCAGACTTCAATTCTCAGAAGAAATATCACTTGCACACGCAAAAGCCTATATTAGGACCAAGGTTTCGTGGTTGTTGGCTTTAATTTTTGAAGAATATCTAAATACACTCTAACATCAGTATGTATTCAAACCCAATTTCTTACACTTTCTAAAAGCTGATAATAAGAATCATCCCCATGTCCTGCAAAATCCTCAAAAATAAACCAGATTTATTAAGTTCAATATGCCATACCTACTTTGACGAGAAAAAGGACTACTTAGAAATATTTTCAAGTCATATACATTTTGAAACCAAGTGTTTCTGATTAACGTTCTGATTAATCAAAAATTAAATTTACCCGGAATCCCATATCTTCCAGCCATTCCAGACAACTGAAGTACAACTATCCTAGACAAACAAAACCAGAATCAAGATGAACAGACAACCCACCAGCTGGGAGAGAATATTTGCAAAACATACATCTGACAAGGGGTTGATCTCCATAATATATAAAGAACTCACACAACTGAACAACAAAAAAACAAACAACCCAATCAAAAAATG